TGAAATATTCTGCAATCTTCCTTTTCTGTTAACCTGAGAGATAATGTAGGAGGTTTTGAGGAAAGAACTTTTAAATGATTGTGGGCCATTTTTATTTTTCTCAGCATCCCTTAGGTAAACAAAGGAAATCAATATAAACAATGGAGATCTCTGATACATTTAGGAAATGGAAAACAATGTCCTTGTAAGAGTTGGACTGATCCAAACTGATGCAGAAGTGGTGGAAAATTCCATCACCTTTGTATTTATCCCCTTTGAGAATACAGCAGAACATCTACTGCTAACATTTAGTCAGTGGGACACTGAATTGGAATGATTTAACCAATCAAATAAACCAGCCAAAGTTTACCCCCATATCTGAGAGAAGCAGTCTCTCACAGGTGTTTTATTCATGTGTCGGATCACCTGGAAAGGAGATATTTTCTGAGGCAAGCATGGAAAAGGCTGGATTAGAATTATTTATTGGTATTTTGGTGGCTCTGGGGCATTGGGCTTAGCTTTAGGCTGCTCTGCATAAAGTCCCAGAAGTTGATAGGGATTAAAATAGAAAGCCAATCTATAATGATCTGGAAAATTATGATCCCAATTAAGACCACAGGTTTTTTGAGGACGGTTGAGCTTCGGCTCTCAACTGGGCAGATTAGGACTTACTAGAACTCTTTCTAGTTACTTTCAGAACCCATTTTTTTGGATGTGTCATACATGACTTTACATAAGCTTTTACAAAATCCCACTGATATTTTGACTTACCACCCATATTTGTTGAGACTGAGTTTCACTACATAGTAGAGAGTTCTAGAATATCAATGACTTAAACAAGATAGAATTTTATTTTTTTCATGTAGAGTCCAGAGGTGGGCAAGGCAGGGTTGAGATGGCAGCACTGAACTGCGGTATGTTCAGGGCCCAGGCTTGCCCCAGTTCACCAGGCGACTTTCACATAGTGCCTTTACCCACACTGGCACAGCCATCACATCAGTGTTCCAGGCAGTAGGAAGGGGAGGAGATGAAGATGATCACAGGTGTGCCTAGCTCATTCATAAGGAGCACTGAAGCTGCCAGAGAAAATGTCCACGTATATCTCATTGGCCAAAACACGATGACAGCAAACAGCAAGGAATGCTGGGAATTTCCAAACCATTTGTGTAGCTAAAAAAATGGAGTTCACTTACCGTGAAACAAAGGGAGAACAACCATTGGGTGACAGACTATGGTATTTATAATACAACATTTAGGAATAAAATATTACTCTGGGTTTTGTAAAGAAATTCTTCCTTTTAGTTGCATTTACCTGTAACTAAGCGTTGCCTCTTGTTCTGATGTAACTGGCTTGATGTTGTTTCAGAAGCAACTAAAAGATGCCTGGGAGATCTTGCTGTGGAAATGGGAACTGGATGGTGCACTTAATGAAGTTAACTCAGTTTAATGAGGTGTCTTTTTAATATTACACTGTTATTACAACATGGTTGTGCCATTCCTTGTGTACTCGTCCTATGATTATCAACTTTAGTTATTTAACTTTTCACAAATTATCAAATGTAACTACTCAGCAAGTCATATTTCCAGACTGATTTCTAACCTTTTTTGTCTGTGTTTATATGACGGCATCTCTAACATCACTATGAGCACATTGGATGCTCTCCTCTGCATCTTTTGGAAGCATGCATGTTTCCTCTTTAAAAAATGTAGAATGGAGTGAACACACCACTTTGGATAATCAAAACTCATCAACAGTTTGGCCAAGTTAGAGACAATCGAAAGGAGATAGCCTTTACAGCCAAAGAGATGGAAACAGATAATGCCATTTAAAATGTGGGCATATAATTACAGGAAGAAAAGATAGTGAAACATCATGAATATTGAAAGGAAATCTTGCTTCAGATACCTCTTAAAGTAGACCACCAGGTTAAAAAGAATATAAATATATATTATATAAATTCCTATTTATATAATATACATGTAAATATATGTATATATGATCTATTGAAACCATAGAAACATTAGAAAGATAGATATTTTAGTAGCAAAATTAATCTTATAAATTATCTATCCAAGTCCTTTTAGCAGGTTACTGAGATGCAGGAAAGTGATCTATATAAAATTAATTATAAACCTCTTGGGAAAATAATTTCTATTTTTGCCATTATTAAATGATAGTCACCTGTAGACACAAAAGATTTTGTAAGATTCTCACAAACAAATGAAAATAATTAAAAATAATGTAAATTATTGATTAATGAGAAAAGGTATTCATTTAAATCTTAGAAAAAATTTCTAAACTCCCCAAAATGAGGGGAAAGAATTATGCCCCTATAAATATGATGTGGTTTGGGGGTAAAATTCCCATTCAAGTATCATATTGCCCTATTCCTGCAACCAAAAGCCAGTCAATATTTAAGCATGTATATCTAACCACTTAAATATAAATACAAACAAAACCTGCAAAACAACTTAAGCTTGAAAATCTACAAATAGCTATTAAACTCTGCTGCCCATTGTTTATTTGCTGCCTCTTGTGTAACAAGTGCAAATGCAAGTGCCAACGGATTAGAGATGAGAATCAAAATCAAATCAGTGTTTTAAATTGTTTATTTCCTACACCCCCAGCTTTTCATGGTTTGGTGGGCAAGAGCTAAAATTCTTTCAGTGAAATATAAAGAGGAAACCCACCAATCTGGTCACCAGGGCTGATGCCGGGACATCCATAAGCTACCAATTATATGTTCTATTTAGTTCTGCTTATTTCTCTATTAGCCTCTTCTTTTCAATATATTCTTCCAAAAGAGAGTTTTGAAATATTTCATCTGCCTCTATTCATTAAGGACCAATTGTTTTCCTTGCTTTGATTGTATAATAAAGAACACAATCACTATGATCTAAATAACAAACAAGACCATAGAAAGTCTAACCATGAAGCTACAATAATTGCTGACCTTCATCATTTCTGCATCTCCCACAGAATGACCTTCTGCCCGCCCGAAAAGTTCACCGACAGAGTCAATACCATTTCCTGTCATTGCTTTGTATGGCTGATGGGTGTGCTAAGCAAGGAACAGATGTGACTCAGCCCTGTGCACTGATGATATGGTTCCTGGTTCTTTTAAAGGGCACCTCTGCCAATTTTGCTGCTGTCGACATTCATCTTTCCTTAAAATTCTGAATTAAAATTGAAGCCTTTATGAAGAGTTATTATTCTTACAAGGTAATATTAAGAAATAATAGCCCTTAAAATACATTACCATGTTCTTAAGAAATGTTACCAGGATGGGAAATTAAAGCAAACACAAAAAATATGAACAGAACGATTCTGTAGGATTTTTAGTTGTTCATTTCCTCCCTCCCTCTCTCTCCTTTTCTTTCCCTCCCTCCTTCAGTCCATTTCTCTCTTCTCCTTCTTTCCTTTCCTCCCCTCTCTTCTACTCTTCTTTTCTCTCCTCTCTAATACTGGTTACTGAAAATCCGTTATTTAATGATTTTGAAATGTCAGGACATGCCCAGGCAAGCTCTCAGATGCTTGAAAGGCTTAATATGAAGGAATGGCTGGCAGCTTGCAGAATTCATTTAAAAGACAAAAAATGCTATGGAATAAACAATGAAAAATAAATGCTAGCTGGTTTTAAAGTAAAATTTCTTACTTAACTAAATAAACACAGGTATCAATTGAGCAAATTTACCAATTCGGAAGAGCTATCTTCATGCTGTTTAGTCCAGAGAAATGTTGAGTTACTGTTTGTTTTTTTTATTTCAAGAAAATATGAATGTATGAACATTTTGGTTACATTTTATATCTTTGCCTCTCCCTAGCAAGCGTTAGAGGTAGTATGTCCTTCCCCTCCACAATGCTCACCACATCCCTCAGATGTGGGTCTACCCGCCAACCCCCAAATCCCTGGTGAGCACTACCACCATTTGAGCACCATAGTTTTAATCAGTCAGTGCCAATTCGGTGGTGAGTACATGTGGAGCCCATTTTTCTGATCTCACTTTGAATAATGGGCTTAAGCTTAATCCAGGATAATATAAGCGGTGTTAGCTCACTGTCATTTCTTAGAATTTAGTAATACTCCATTGTAAACATATACCAAATTTTAACAATCCACTCATGAATTGACATATACCAAATTTTAATAATCCACCCATGAATTGACAGGCACTTGGGTTGTCATTGCAATAGTGAATTGTGCGGCCATAAACATTTGGATGCAGATGTCTTTATAACAGAATGTCTTATGCTCTTTTGGATAGATGCCTAACAATGCTATTGCTGAGTCGAATGGTATTTCTATTTTTTGCTCTTTGAGGTATCTCCAAATTATTTTTCCGCAAAGGTTGCACTAATTTGCAGTCCCACCAGCAGTGTAAGAGTGTTCCTGTCTCTCCACATCAAGTTACTGTTTTTTGCAATAATGGTGTACACAGCTGATTTCACTCTGTCTTGATGGCCTTTTCCACAGAATCATCATGAGAACTCACACATAATTCAAATCTAGTCTCTTCGTCACACACAGCTTAAAATCACAGTAACAAAACCAAATTTCAGTTACTTTGAAATTAAAAACAATTTTAATTGACAAAATTGCATATATTGATCATGTACAACATGATGTTTTGAAATATGTACATATTGTGGGATAGCTAAATGGAGCTAATTAATATCTGCATTACCTCACATACTTACTTACCCTTTGACCAATGTTTCCTGAATTTTCCCCCTCCCAATCCCCTGGTAACCACCATTCTACTTTGTACTTCTAGGTATTAAACTTTTTTAGATTTCACATATAAGTGAGAATATGCAACATTTGTTTTTCTATACCTGGTTTATTTCACTTAACATCATGTTCTCCAGGTTTATCCATGTTGAGGAAAATGATAGGATTTTCTTCTTTGTTAGGGTCAAATAGTATTCCATGGTGTATATATACCACATTTTCTTTATCAGTTCATCCAATTGATGGACAATTAGGTTGATTCCATATTTGGCTATTGTGAATAATGCTGCAGTGAACATGCGAGTGCAGATACTTCTTTGACACGCTGGTTTCATTTCCTTTGGACATATACCCAGAAGTAGGATTTCTGGATCATATGGTAGTTTTACTTTTAATTTTTTGAGAAGTCTCTACATTGCTTTCCATAGTGACTGCACTAATTTACATTTTCACCAACAGTGTGCAAGGGTTCCCTTTTCTCCATATCCTTGCTGACTCTTATCTTTCATCTTTTTGTGAATAGCCATTCTAACAGGTGGGAGGTAATAGCTCATAGTGGTTTTATTTTGTGTTTCTCTGATGATTAGTGATGTTGAGCATTTTTTATATACCTAGAGACCATTTGTATGACTCCTTTTGAGAAATGTTTATTCAGCTCCTTTGCCCAGTTTTTAATTGGGTCATTTATTTTCTTATTATTGAGTTGTTTGAGTTCTTTAAATATTTTGGATAGTAAGCCCTTATCAGATAGTTAGTTTGGAAATATTTTTTCCAATTCCATAGGTTGTCTCTTCACTCTGTTGATTGTTTCCTTTATATACAGATTAAAATCACAGTAATGAAACTAAATCTATATTATTATTATTTTGAGACAGATTCTCACTCTGTTGCCTGGGCTAGAGTGCTGTGGCATCATCATAGCTCAATGCAACTTCAAATTCCTGGGCTCCAAGGGACCGTCCCTGCCTGCCAGTCCTGGACGTACCATGGGACCTAGCCATGTGGCCATCTTGTCAGCGACTGTTAAAATTTGCAGCTGCCTCACGCTTCCTGCGCGACACTGTAGCTCATTCACATCTTGACCTTCAAGTGCTAAGACTGATAGCGTCGAGCACTAATGCTGACCTTCTTTTATTAAGTAGATTTTGTGGGGTTGTGTTTTGTTATAAGCATACTCTAATCCTTTCTACACACTTTGCGGTAAAGCCCTCAAGCTGCAGGATCTTCTCTGTCACATTCCTAAGGTTTGGTCTCCTAACTGGCCTTGCTGTGCAGGCACTTTCCAAGTGGCAATGAGTAACTGGCTGGCTTACTCCCTGATTTTACCACAAAAATATGACAGTAACATTCTTGCTGGATGGGTTCAATTAATTATCTCTTGTTTTAACAGCTGTTTTTTTATCTTTATTATCTTCATTATCTTTATTATTTATTAATAGGGTTCTGTGGCACCATAGACATTGAGACTTTCTCTTTCTCTCTCTCTGGAGCCTAAGTTAGTGCCTAATAGGAAATTATAAAATCATATCGATGGTTTCAGGTCTCAGAGATAATGTTTCTCCTAAGCTAACTGTGTCGGCTGATCATCGTGCCTCTACCCAAGGGAGACGAAACTACACACCTACCGAGAGTCTCAGAGTGAAGTTGCTTCTGGGAATTTGCCCTCATTGACTCACACACAGATCTTGACCTTTTCCTTTGCGGTTGTTTCCTGCTCACATAAATCTTTCATTGTTGTGGTGGTTTTTTGTTTTAATTTTTTCTCTCTAAAAGTAAGTAATTTACCAGGGGAATTTCAAGCAGTTCAAACTGATATATGGGAAAATCTATTCCACCCACGTAGAGACTCGAATCCTGCGCTTTTCCCAAGAGAGGCATCTCTAAAACCTCCCCGGCGATCTCATGAGAGAAAAATTCCATACTTCAGCCTGTTATTCAAAGCTTTCCATGGTCTTTTCCTCAACCTTTCCTCATTTTTTTTGTGCCGTACCCAGCCACGTAGTCACTACTCCAGCCTCATCTGGTCTCTAGTTCCTGGTTGAGTCCTGGGTCTTTGCTCCTGGGTCTCCCATCCCTGGGTCTTTGCTCTGGTTGTCCCTTTGGCAGGGAGCCATTCATTCTCATGCCAAAGCCTGTCCAGCTTCAAGGCTCTGCTCAGGTCTAACCAGCCTTGCAAGGTCTTCAGAAGTTCCTTAGTCTGAAATGATCTGCTCTCCCTTTTCATCTGTGGAATCTTTATTATGGTTTTCCTGATCACTGGATTCCTTGCATTTGCCTCATGTATTTGTTTCCACTACTAAACTGTAAGATCTGAAGGTGAAGGCATTGAGAAACCTGGACTCTAGCCTCAGCTCAGCCATTAATAATAACTGCGTGGCCCAGAGAAAACCACTAAGCCTCCCAGGGCCCAGGGTTTTCATCTATTACAACCTTTTTGAGAACAAATAGCTGAGTGCTACAAGACTTAAGAAGACAACAGTGAACTGTTCTCACTCTATGCTACTCCCACGTAGGGAGACATATTCTTTCTTCCCTGTGCAAATGAAAATAAACATTTCAACTAAATAAATTAGTTATACTCGTCTCCAGAAATAGCAATCCTAAGCTGACAAAGACACTAAAATGTTGTTTATCTGAAATATATGAGATAGAAACACCGGAACTTCATGATCTGCCAGTGATTAACATGGAATCCAAGTTTCACGGCTCCTTTTATCAGTGAACTTATTACGCATCCCATTGGGCGGTGCCATCTCATAATGTTCCACTCTCTTCAACCAGCACTCTCTCCTTATTCACTGACTTCCTCATACACTCTTCAGCGGAGGGATGGTGATGAACTCATGACTTTATATGAATAGTAAGTAATCAGGACATAATCACCCAATAAATGTCTTTTCATGGAAGAACTTATTGTAATCTAGTTTAAAGTAGACTTTACATATTCATCCACGAAGTGGTCAGAAGTCTATTATCTGAATAGAATCTAATGCACATGCAGAGTTTGTTTGCTGGCAAGAATTAAGTAAAGCCAAGGAGCTTATATTTTCAAACTGGAAGTATTCTGAGAACTCATTTAAGTTTCCTTTCAAAACTGGAAATAGAAACAAATAATGTAACCTTTTAGGTCATGGAAATGAGCTTATGAAATTCTCAGACTATAAATATTAAGGTATCATACATTCACATAAACAAGAGGAAACAAAAAGAATCATAAGAAGAGTTTTTCTTTTCCAGTTTAACTTTACATAAATAACTTTGAAAAACTGGATGAAAGAAATAATATTCTACAAAAATATAATTTACTCATCCAGAAGATAAAAAAATCTAGGCAGATGGATTTCCAAAAGAGAAACAGAAAAAGTAGTCAAAAAGTTGCTTTTGTCTCTTCAAATGCTTTCCCAGGAGAATTCTACAGCACATTTAGAGAACACATAATTTCAATGTTATTTAAA